GGGATTGCAATGAATATGTTAATGACTTCTCGGAAAAGCAATGAATATGTATATTTTTACAGTATAAAGCTTTAGTGGAGAGACAGTCAGTATGCACAATAGTGCATCTGGCGCCGTAATAAAGAAGTGCCTGCTTCTTCAGACTACACTGGTGTTAACAAGCTTATTTCCTGATTTTGGTAACAACCTGACCTAATACACATATTTACTATCCTCTTTTTTCTAACTACAGGGTGATGTTAAAACATTTTTCAGTTTAACATAATGTGCTTCTTCAGAGTGTGGGCCTAAAGCACAAGTAGCATTTACAAAATGAAACCCTGAAGAAAGAGGTAGCAAGTGGTCATTCTTCCAGTTGATTCCAGAAACCTTATACAACCCATGCAAATTCACAAGCTTCAAGCACCATATCTAGAAGTCATCTCAGGACTAATTAATTGAATATTGAGGAATATTTTGTACCTGCATTCAGTTCCGAATTTGGGTGCAAACTTGAATGAAAATTAAACTTTCCTGACATCATATAATCAGAAACACCATAGCAACCTCAAAATTGAAATTTGTGTTGATGTGGTGGTGTCAGAAGAATAAAACAGCAAGGACTCTTATGTGGCAAAAAGTTCTAAAACTCATGAAAAGGGACTCCAAGAGGAGTCCAGGAGTACATAAGGTGGAATATAGCAGCTTTCAGAAATAAAACAAGTATCAGAGCAGGTAAGTGCCATGCTCTAGTTAACTGTATTTTACTATATACATCTGTAAGAGCATGAAATGCTGTAACAAAGGTGGACATCAGGTTTCTTAACATATTCTGCAAGGAGACTGCAGTTTCAAAGCACATTAGGAGCAATATTATCACTACATGTGCACAAAAGAGGAAAAATTATTGGTAGTAGAAAGCTAAGACTTCTTATCTAGATTAAGTCCTTTGAAATGCAGAAAGGCTGTAAAGCAAGCATTATTTACACCCATCAGAAGCAATCTCCTTGCTAACTGGGGCATGACAACAATTGACCTCAAAGCAAGACCACTGCAGATGAGATTACACGTGTAAACATGGCTAATTATTGCTCGAAGCAAAGAATTGGATATTACAGAAGTACTGGTGGACCACTACATTTTACACTCTGGATTCAGGAAAAAAAAAAAAATAGGGCAACACAGAAACCAAGGCCAAACTGTCTTTCTAGGGATCATTTTCATCAGTAATGAAGAACTAATGGTGTAAAGGCATTTTCAGAACATCATCAGCATAACAGATAGATGCAAGAAGCAATACGACTGGTGTGGTGATCAGTATGTACTGGGAGTTATAAATGAAAGGTGCCAAAAGATGCAGCAGAGATTTCAGCACAGATGCAAGTTTCAGGAAGACAGCAGCAAGTCGTAAGACCCAGCAAAGTAGGAGATCCTTGAGTAGCTCAATCAAGCTGTATTGATCCTTGCTAAGAATGTGGAAGGAACAAATTAAGAGCTGCTACATGATTAAGTCCTCTGCAGCACAGATGAGTCCATCTGCTTCAAGTTAAATAAAATACCATAAGGAAATTTAAATTCTCCAGTTGTTTCAGAAGAAGGCAGATCCATGTGCTATTCTGTGTGAGGTACACGTTCTAAATAATAGATACAAACCATACACTCAGAAAGCCAAGACAACCATAAGTCCTGCCCATAGGTTCAGCTCTGAACATATAAGCAAGGTGTAATGCAGATCTGAGCAACAACAATGGATACTAATAAGGTAGCACATTCTCTTGGACCAAAGCTCACAGACTGTAGCTGTGCCTTTTGCAATGCTTTATGCATAGAAGAAAGGCAGGAGTTTTCAGTTTCTGTAGCAGGAGAGCACTTACCAACAAAACCATTCCAAGCTTTGACAATTCAAAACCCTGCAGTTTTGAATCCCAGCAAAGTAGGACAAATCGTAATGAATAACAGTACTGTCAGTTTCTCTGTACCAGAAAGGACTAAAGGTGACTTCAACCACCTATGTAAAATGTGTGTCTATTCCAGTATGTACTGCACACAAGCCAACCGAGAAGAAAGATTTCTTCTTCTTTGTCACCTTCTTCTTCTTCTTCTAGGGACAACTCCTGCAGTGAAAACCCAATGTGCTAGGTCCAGCCAAAGGTTATGAGTGGACATCGTATGTCAAAAACAAGTTAGATGACTGTTTAGTAAACAAAAGGACTACCAGCAGTCAAAACTGTGCCAGAAATTATGATATGCAACTGTTGGTATTCCTGCCGGATCGGGGAATGCAAGGGCACTAATCACAAGGTACAGCTCTGCAGGTTGCCTTTACCAATCAGTTTAAAGATAGAGGCAAGAATGGTGTACAAGAGATTTCAGGGAAGATCTGGATGCAAAAGAGGAGAAGGAAGTGTGACATCTGAAATATACATCTAATTATCTACAGATGTCTTCCAGTACATCTTGCATGCTTTAATTACGGGAATATATTGTTGTTGACCACACCACAATATATTCAAACAACTAATGCAACTTTAAATCTTCTGACTGGTAGCAGGCAATCTTTTTTTCTGAACTGCAAATACTGAATGCATTATTGCATTATTTGCAATTGTATTTGTCAATGTGGAAAGGCAATGCCACTAAGAACATAATTATCATTACTAAGCTACCAGTAAGCTAGCAATAGCATTATCTGAACAAAATTCTACAGCTTCAGAAACTCATGAAACTACTAGGATTTGTTGTCCCACATGATACCATCATCTGACATATCTGCCATTAGTTGACTAAAATAGGACTTTCTGACATGCAGAAATTAAACTTATCTAAAATGAACCAAAACCAAACAACTACTAAATGTAGACACATGCTTGTATTGCCTTTAATATGTTCCTATGTTTTGGTTCACCTCTCTCAAAGTCAACACAGAAGCCACTTTTAAAATTATATAAGGTCCATATCTGGTCAATAAAGGTCAGTTTTTCTAGATCATACCTACCAGATATATAAACCAGATCTGAGGGACCAGAGTTTTCTCTGAAAACGTCTGTTATCTCAAGTCATTACACAACACACTCGTTCCTCAGGGTCTGAACTGAGCTACAGATTGCAACAGAGTGCCTAGAACAGCTCTAGACTTGTGACTGACTACTGGAGAGCATTAGGGATGATATAACTTCTGACAGACCATTCCTCCTCTCACAGCAGTATTAAAAGGAGGTGAATTTGTTCTGCTTCATTTCACAAATATTCAAGATGCACATCTGCAAGCTTGTAAGTAAAGTAATGAAATGTCTCTTGGGAAGGGCTGTGTCATGCTTTTGGTCACCCTCAAGCAACTCAGCTGCCACATCTCTCAGGGAGAGCATCTGGTTTGTCAAGGAAAGCATTCCAAGTTTAGAGTCACAGACAAAGTCCTTGCCTAATTCAAAACACACATAGGTTGTCACCGTTCAGTGACAACTTCTGTCACTTTCTGACTGCTGGATTTTCAGCCCTGACTATTTGTTTCAACAAAGCTACCCTTTATTACCCAGTGGTCACTATCAAAGCCTCCCATGTGTGTGACTGAGCACGTTTTGTAGCATAGAGGTATTGTAAGCAGTGCAGTGAGCCTGCTGGATATAAAAAAAAACCAACCTTCAAAATTAAAAAAAAAAAATACCTTCATTGCCATAAGTTCCTGCATCAAGACCGCATTTTCCAGGTCTAGCCTCTGGCTGTCTCCGCGAGGTTTAACGTCATAACTAAGGGGATCAATGTGGATGCTTTCCAGCTCCAGCATTGTCAGTTTCACTGCTGCCCTGTCATTTTTCAACTGCTGGATGTAATCCTTCAGCCGCTGCTCATCCTCCTTTGTAAATTCTGTATCACAGCTGCTTGCAGTTGAGCTGGTAGTACTGGAAAGAGAAAGAACGGTATTAAAAAACCATTTGGAACAAAAATCAGTATTTTTACTTCAAACACTGTCCCAATACTTTGTCAACTCCTCCGAGTCTTACTGAAAAGTTCATAGAAAGGACACATGTAGTGCGGACTGGACCTTGTAATGTTCAGAAGATGCAGAGGGGTGTGACAAATTCAAAAAAGAAATTAATTCTCTAAGCTGCATGAGAAAATTGAATCATGTGACAAATTCTCTGCAAAGCCAGATATTGAGTGACATATAACTGACTTACTTTTTATGGAATGGTGTCTTCTGAAACAAGTCAGTTTTTAACAAAAAACCAAACCAAAACAAAAACTACTTAAGATTTCTTAGCAACAGTCTAGCAGGGCAAGCTTCTGTCTGCTATTCAGCCACTGAGTTTTCATCTTCTTTGGGAAGAAGCATCTGCTAAGAAAAAAAGAATCAGCCCAGTCCTCATTTACCTCTGCTGACGGCAATACCAGTTATCATCTCAGATATTTTTAATGGATACTTGTAGGAATCAACCTGAGCAAAATTCCACAGGCTGATGCCAGGAGGTAGCATCTTTCAATTCCTGTTAAGGTGTATTCGTCACCTCACGCTGACATTCATTCAGGGCTGGGGGGGTTTAAAACCAACCCATAAATTAGCAGGATTTTTAATAAAATGTCATTATCATACTTCGTGGAACTTCTCCTGTCTACAGGCATCAAACACACAACTGCCCATCAGGCTGCCTCACAAATGTTTACATAGAGATCCAGAAAGGGAGAACGAGCCTCTTAGCGCAAAGGTGGCTCAGAGCTGCCTGCCCAGCTACACGCATGCCAGTGCTGCGGGGGGCTGAGACTGATAGGGCCGCAGCATTCCAGGGCTGAACATAGCTTCAATAACACTAAAAGGAAAATAAAATGCCATGTTGTTCTATAACCTCACTCAGAGCTGCCTGCTGTCTCCTGAGGTCCTGTAATCAGCTGCTGGGTGAGGGATAAGTCATCCATTAACTCTGCTTGTCTGGAATGCTAGATGATCTCAGTTATCAGCAGGGGAATAAATCACTTTCTGTATCAAATTGCACTGCTGTTCAACGTTTTTGTATGAAGAAAAAAGCCCCACCCGCAACATGCTGTGAGAGTCAGGATGATGTCCTAAAGTATATTATGTGTGTGAAAAAGGGGAAGCCTATCAAGATAGGCTTGATTTTTCTTTTTCCTTTTGGTTCTGCTTCAGCAAAAGCTACGCTGATTTTTAAGTGCCTCAAATAATTACCAATCTTCCCACAAATTCCAAGCACAGCTTTGGTGGAGATGAAGAACTGGCAGGTCTACAAAGATTTCTCAAAATCCTTCCCTCTCATGAAATATCGCATTACAGTTCTTTACTACAGCTCTCTGTCAATTTTCCATTATTCCTTCCTTTTCTTAGGGATAAGAGGTGACATATTTACCACAAGTGTCAACTGGTCTTTGCTTTTGCTTTCATCCATTTTCATCTGCAGTGAAGCTAGAAACATGAAGTACACCACACAGAAACCCTTTCAGGTTTAGTTCTTCATCAGAGAATCCTCAAACACTTAATAAATCTTGCTTTACTGAGTCTAAAGATACCTCTCTGAAGTAGATATTGATATAAAAATCATGGGGACAGACAATGTGAGAAATACTTAACTCTGTACTGAAGTCACGTTGCAAGTTTCCTCAGAACCCAACGACAGCAGTTGCACAGCTTTTCTGGATTAAATGTAAAACAGCTGTTGTTGGAGGAAGGACGGCTTTCAAAGCCGACAAAGGCTTCAAGTCTTGGGACACAAAGAACTCATCTCAGTTTTCGCTGGCAAAGGAAAGAAAACCTAGCACTCCTGCTGGGAATGAAACCTGAGCAAAAATGCTGAAAGTATATTGTTACGTTGTGTTGGACCTCTGTACTCACTGGCTATTCACAGATTCTGGCCGTTAAAGATCCATGGATATGTGCGTATATTTTAGGGGAGAGCAGTCCAAACTGAGGAAGGCAGTCTGGGTTCTTGCCAGTGATACTCAGGCAGCAGTCAATTTGGAGTTAAGCGTATGCAACTTCTATCTCAATTTTGTAATAAAAACCATTCCTGATTTAACTCTTTGTGGAATTACAGCCGAGAGGTTTTTTTTTTTTTTTTTTTTTTTAAGAGGTGAGGAGAGCTTAGCAAGGAAGCTGTCTAAATCAGCATACAAATCGACGAGAACCTTTGCTCTCTCCCCACGTTTAGCAGCAAGCCCCGACCCAGAAGCCTGGAAGCAGTATGGGTTGCAGAAAGCTAGGGTACAAAGCCCACTTTGGACTTATAAAAATGAGGCTGGATGATGAGAGATGGAAACAACGCTGCAGTGTTTCTGAACTCCCACAGTACAATTCTGCCAGGGTGTGTTCCCCCAAAAGCCCCACCATACAGCTCTCTACAGCCATAATGCTAGTCCATTGCTGCTCTATTTGAGGGCCCACAGCTGGTTAGCATATGATCCTGAATTTCAGATATTGCTCTCCCTTCTAACAGCAGTCAGGACAAGGGAAAACAGACCAACAGAATGCTTATATTGTATAATGCATTCATCCAAAAAAACATATGAAACTGTTGCAAAAGGTGTCCAGTTTCTCATTTCTCAAGCATGTAAGTAAGGACAGAGAATGGATTACACCTGGAGGGAACACAATATCAGTCTGCTCATTAACTGCTGTTGTATTCAGAACAAGAAAAGAGAAATGTTCCTCCCACTTGCTTCATCCCTCAAGTCTCTTACAATGATGTCACACCTGGATGATGTCAAATTAATTTTCATATACAGCTGTGGAAAATATACAGGATGGTATACTATAACATGCAGTTTTATTTACCAGCATGAGTGTGTTCGCCTGCACATGCATTTGTATGAACTTCAGTTCATGTGTTAAAAATAAAGTCAATAAATAAACCTGCAATTAAGCAATGGTGCAAATAACACAAAAGTTAACATAACTAAAATATGGCTGTCAGAACTAAACCCACAAAACTTGCTCAAATGTCTGCTTGCAATCTTAAACTTTAAAGAATGCATTTGATACACAGTATATATGGTCCAACCATCTTACAGGTGAACATTGTGGCTTGAGATCTGAAACAGCACCGCATCAAAAGATGGTATCTTCCTGACAAACTGAAAAATACTCCAACCAGCCAAAAGACAGCATATTTGGCTAAAATCAGAACCTCTGGTGAAACTACCCTGCTTCCTTCTGAGACTAGTTCAGTCCAGCAATGAAGTATTACACAGATAACATTAAGATATCTGTTGGGATATTTCTGAATAACTTATTTGCACACTTCAGTTGAGATAATCTTGTAAACTATCTATTTGAAATCTGAGATGATTCTGATGCAATGTATAGCCCTACGTTTGGCTGAGTTCAGACATTTTGTGACACCATATAGTACTGGAAAGAATTCTGTCTGCATATAACAGACCAGATCTTTTCCCTCATGAACTGAGACATAAGGCTGGGCTTACTAGCACTGCAAGGAATAAAATGTACTGCCTTCATTCAGTGTTACAAATGGTGTCCTTCTCTTTTGTTTCTTTCTTTTTAAGGTGCAATCAGTCAAACCTTGTTGGCAATGTATGTTCTATAGTTAGCTTCTGCCCATTAAAATAATTATGACTTCCAACTACACTGCAGACCTATTTCTGTTTTCAAAAAATGAACTGGCCACATTATTGTGCTGCTGCTGCCTGCCAAATGAGTTGAGATGCTTGCTATTATTTTTATTCACTTCACCAGTAACAACCTCTATTACGCTCTTCCATTGCATTTCATTTGTTTTCATTTCAGTTGCTCCCTTTTACAGTCTTTAACCACTTGCCACTAGTGGCTCACCAGGCATTTATTCTCAGTAATATGTTCAGTGATTTGACATTCAGAATCACATTTGAAGTGCCAAAGCTAAAGATGGGTCAACAATTCCCTCGTAAATCCCTATTCTACAGGATTTCCAACAGCAGGGAGAATTACTCATGTGTCACAAGTTTCAGCATAGGAGAGTTTTCATCATCTCACCACCTCTTTACTCACTTGGTTTCAAAGGGAAAAGGTAGCAATATGTATCTGCAACTAAAAGCCTGCAACATGGAAACAGCTATGTAAAAAGATCAGTCTTTTAAGTTGGGAGTATGTTTGAACTGCATAACGCAAAAATGTTTTCATTTCAGTGCAGTGTCCCCAAATGGTGGTTCACACAGCACACACTAGTGATGTGGGCTTGTTCTACTTCTCTCAGTTTTACAGATTGCCAAGTTGTTTAAGACAAATAAAAAACATTAAGCCTGCAGGAACAGATAGAAATCCACAGTCTGCTTTCTTATCTCTGCTTGGATTGCTATTGTAATGGAAATGAAAAGGAAATGGAAACCATCAGCATCAAAGAATCATAGAGGGCTGGAGGACTAGGCAATGGGACATCTGTCTAGAGCAGCAGGGAGCAAAGTGACAAGGGAGCATGCATGAATGGGTTGAGAGAGCCGCCAACATAGGCAGGGTGACTTCAAAAAGCAGGAGTAGGGTTCTAGAAAGAAACAAAAAGAATACAGAATGATAGAGAGAGGAGAGTTAAAGACAAAATCTTCAATTTTTTAAACCCAATATAGAACATTATTGATATAAATACAGAAAAGGGCATGACTTTTGAACCAACACAGATTTGCCATCTAAGGGCTGGCACAGTGTCATATGTTGGTAGGCTGAAGAGAGGATACCTCTATTTTAGACAAGGTCCACAGGAAGGAGAAATCTGAAAACACCTCTCCCACATATCACTTGAACACAATAGAAGAAGATTTGTATTTCATGGAGAAGCTAAAGTTTCAGAATTATTTTCACTGATATGTAATTTTAGACAAAGACAAATTACATGGGGTGTGGTGGGAGAGGAGAGGGACAATAACGTGTAAGTGATGATCAGATCAGGATGCCCATATGACAAGTTCCTGACTTGCTGTGTGCCCCTCGGGTGAGTAAGAGAATCTTTTCTCTCTCATGTTCCACTTATATCAAAACAGATAATACTAGTTACCTTATTCAGTACAGTATCTTGCTCCATGCCAGAAAAAATTATCATGCAGTGATAATGACTCAAAAACATCTCTCTTGCACACAGAAGCATTTACATTCACATTCTTACATTTCACGACACAGCTAATACTGATGAAATTTGAAATCCATTTGAATCAAATCAATTTGACAGCATTTGAATAAAGAACTGGCTCAAAAGCTGAATTAAAATGAAGTTTTAGAGTGAATCTGAGAAACCAAAATAACTTTAAAAAAGAAAAATGTTCATCTATATTTAGCCAGGATGCTTGCCAAATCTGTATCCATACATAAGCACTCATATTCACTGCATAGAGTACAATTACACTGCAGGCAGACAACGATTCAAAATGAAGTTGCTAGCAGATGTACTTGAACTGGAACACTTCTGCAATAATAGCTCATTTAAATTTCATTTTATAGGTCTTCAGAAAAACTGCAGTATCCAGCCTTTCCTAGAAGAATCCACTCTGTCATGATGTTCACTTGACACTTCACATGCACAAGAATAGCATGGGAAGGAAGAAGCTGGAGAGGGGCAAAGAGGAATGAGAAGGGAGAGGAAATTATTTAAAACAAAATGGCTGGATTTGTAACATTTAGAAAATAATTCTTGAGCACTCCAAAACACTGACAGAAGCATACTTCTGATCCCTGGTTCTCTGTATGCCTCTGCTGTCTGCATACAATAGACATTAATAAGTAGTACGTCATTTGAGTTCCAATAAAACAGCAAGAAAGTCACCAAAGTAAAACAAATATAATGGTTTTGCCCTTTATGAGGAAGATCAAAGTTCAGAGTCACACATTTGCAACAAATTTACACAAAACCCTTCTTGGCTGGAGTCACTCAAAGTCTAAAGACAATTAGACCACTGAGGCATGGTGACTTACAAATCAAAGCAAAGAAAGCCAGTGAACTGAGGTGAGGGGGGTAGTTCAGCAAATACAATAGAACATAACTTTTTGGTCCAAAATCACACACCTGGGGATTAGGAGAGCAGATGAGTTGCAGTTACCTTGTGTGACTGTTGGATGAGAGGCTTTCCCAGGGCTGCACGCTACACCCAGTGATTGCATAAGCTCCCCCGCAGCTCCCATCTAGTTTCATCAGCAAGGCTTTCGCTGCGTTCTCAGCTGTCTTCCTGCAGTCATGAGCTCTCTTAAGCATCTGCGTGATGTTTTCATCACCTGTCTGGTCCCCTAGTTTTCAAGCAAATAATCCATTTCAGAGCTTTGAGAAGGATGACAGAAATACTAGAGATGCTTCTATATGATATCAGTTTATACCAAAACAATTACAATAAATGACCAACCTGTGATGTAAAAGCAATTTCACTTCTGTGTGAGCATCAGTCGTAACTGGGCTATTGGTCTGAATGCACCCCCCTTCCAGCCACAATCTCCAGCTATTTGTCGCTCTGGGTACATGTCTTAAGCGATGTTTTATCTTAGCTAGTTTGTCTGTTTGTAAGCATGTGCACTGTGTATTAGGATTAGGTTAGGATGCTCAAGTTAATAATACGCTGGAAAAGCCTCAGTCTAAATTACAACTCTTAATCCAATCAGTCCGGTGCTGTTTCACAGTGTGGCCATTTCCAGCATTTTTTCTCACCAGCACCTTTATCTCAAGTCTAATGGTTTGCCAAAACACCTTCTTACAGGTGTTAGGTGTTAGCTTTCCAGGTTAGCTTTCCAGCTGGAAGAACTGCCTTACTGATTAGAAGCAGCCTTTCAGAGTTTACAGTCATGCACATTCAACCAAAAGAAAACTAGCACTAGTGTTTATTAATCTGCTCTAATTTCTAGTGGTTCTGCAGCATCTATGCAGCTGGTAAGCCATCCCTTCAGCAGAGGCAAGACAGAAACCACTACTGTCACTATTCTTATAGTCCTAACTCCAGTTGGAATCAAGTCATTGAAGTAAGAGGTATTAGTGGCTACATTGAAAGTCTGAACAAAACTACAAAATATTCATACTTCACCAAATGCAATGCAAAGATGTCAGAGAGTATAAAAAACCCCAGTTTGATCTATGTCAGACTTTAATTTCATCCTTATTCGAGTCAAAGAGCAATTACACATACTTCAGACTTGCTAACTGAAGTTCCTGCACTAGAAATAACATGAATGCAGAAGAAAGGAAGGGAGGATCTTCATTTAAGAGCAGCTAGATGTGCTCAGCTCTAAGTGACACAGAAGCACCTCCCATGAGTTTCCCACTCACAGATGTTGATAGAAAACTTGACTGATCTTCAAACCAAAAATCTGCTGTTGTATCTAGGTGTTTTAATCAAATTTCACAGTGAAGTAAAGGCACAGAAAACAAACACAACTTCACTCAAGCTGTGTTATGTAATGGGAAACTGGTACTATCACAGGGCTGTGACCGGTAATACCATAATTAAGAGCTGTAGATAGACACCTATATAAAAACTAAGCTACATTCTCTTTCATGAAATGCCTGTGAGATGAAACCCTGCTCAAACCTAAAGTATTTCTCCCTTCTAAGATTTTTCTGCCAGCTATGTGAATAGAAAATCCAAGGCTAAATTCACTTTTGCTGGCCATTGATCTCCCTAGCACACTGGGTAAAGGAACAACCAGAGCCTGGAAGAAAGGTGGATGAAAATCTCAGACATTCACTCTGTCATTTAGTATATGGCACACATTGCCATGGCCAAGACAGGTACTCAAGGCCTGTGTCTAGCACTGGGAGTGATACAGAATAAGAGGCCCGGTTAGCAGCACAGCAACTGTGGTCTGAGTGGATTTAGTCATCTGAAACAAGAGGCTATGTCAGTCCTGTGGCTCTAAAGCCAGATGGTGACTCTGTCTCTAAAAGCTTTCCATTTACATTTTCGTGATTCTCAAGAAGCTAGTGCTGTAATACTGTCTCAACCAGTCAGTCACTATGCCCCAGCACAGCATGCAGAACTACCGCTCTCTCTGAAGGTTTCCTCTCTTTCTACTTGAAGATTATGACAGCTACCTTCTCCTACCAGTAAAAGGAATGGGATTATAAAACCCAGATTAGTGTTCATTGTGTAAACACCTCTTTCTATGAGAAAAGTGGAGGTAGCAGTGATGTCAATCTCGAAACACTTCTGAACTGTACCTACGGTAATGACTCCATTACTTAGCAAGCAGTATATTAAAAAACCACCTAGCCACAAGATTAACTATCCACAAAATAAGAAGAAACCCAGAACATATAGGCTAATACCCCAACAACAGAGTAAAATATAAGATAGAATGTTTTAAAATTTCAGAGAAAAGGTAAAATGTGGGGTGAAAAACTAGACCAATTTTTTTTTTGTTTTTTTGGTAACTACTCAATGGTACCTTTGTGTTGTCCTAATCCCAGTTTTTCGTAAGACTATATTCAACTTCTAGGGGGGTCAATGTTGCTGGTTCAAACAAAATCTGTACTTCCAGTTACCACAGCTGTACAGCCCTAAGCCACATATGTTCATGAGTATTGTTTAATAATTCCACTCTGTACAGCTGCCTGCTTGTAGGAGCCTCACCACTGCCAGAACAGGCAACCTCTTATGACAGGGGATGGTAGGATAGTAGGTTAATTTAAATTGCTAGTGAATTTTATGATTTAATTCCAGTCTCTCCTTTTCCCTTATTTTTTGGGCGTGTAAAATGATTTAATTAATTAAAAACAAGAAAAGACCAGAGAGCATTCCTAAGTGATGGGTCATGAGATGATTCACCATTACAGCTAACTCTAATGCTAACTGACATGCAAAAAAAATATTAAATAAAGTGATTCATTGACATCTTACCAACAGAACCAACACCTGCAGCTCTGAACTGCCCAAGAATGAGACTCTGCTCACTTTCTGCCAATGCCAACAGCAGCTCATATGCTTCTATGCACTGTTCACTGAAAGAAGAAACAAAACACAGAAAACAAAAATCACACTAAACATATCTGCAACTTAGAGGGGAAGAATACCTGCAACAGCAACAAAAAAAAGAGGTAGCTGATGAACTGCATGATTCCCTACTACTTGTCTAACAGCAGGGATATTAAATGACCTAAGACACATAGCTTCTATCACAAGCATTCAATAGTCCCTCCTTCCTTACGATGGTCACAGGTTGGCCTCAAGTAATGTAACTAGTTAAAACAGAAGAGAAAGACGTGATGTGAAGGGAGCATGTTTGAAATAATCAACAATACAAAAGGTGGTCAACAAGATTGTATGAGAAACTTTTTTCTGGCCTTTTTACTATACAATACAGTATTGTATACTCTACTATATAACTGTACTGTACAAAGTATAGTGCAAAGAAAAGACACAATAAATACTTGTTGCTCTGTCCTGCTCTGGCTATATTTTCCTCCTTACAACACGACAGCTCCTAAATACAGTTATGAGTCACTCATTCCTGTTGCATTCTAATGTTTTTTGAAATATCTACATTAATATCTCTATTTGCAATTTGCATTTCCTTGTAATTTGCTCAAGGCTGGTAGTAATAGAACACATTCTTTAAAAGGCACACAATTTGTCTAAAGACCAGAACTGCCTGTTCCAAATTAGTTGCAGTTGAAGGAGTTAAATGACATCACCTTTTTACATATGGTTTAAAGCAAATTTAGATACTTGTAACCAAATACCAAGCAATTCATCCACAATTTCGACCGATGTAATATTAAGTCACTTTGAATTATGTGGAGTACAATACTACTCTTTGGAATACAGTACTCCACTGGTCTTGTGAAAGGTGCCAGCCTAATACAGAGAACCTGTATCTTAAGACTGGATACAGCAAAGACAGTTTGATCCTACATGAAACCCCTAATTCAAAAGTTAATTTGGTATTTAAAAATGAAAAGATAAATCTGTATATTTCTACTAGATCTATTTCACTATAGCTGGTGAACTAGGGTTGAAATACACTTGTATGAATAACTTCAGTTCTGTAGTTTGTCAGGTAGTTTCATCAAAGGGTTAAACAGTACTACTATGGCACACTCAAAGACTTCTATCAAGTCTCTCCTGCTCCTTCTTTTTCTGGCTGAGACACCCCCTGCGTAGGTACATACCTGTACTGCAATGCAAGCCTGAGGGCTGTGGCATTGGACTCGTACTTCCCAACAAGCATGCTCATTCTCTCGGCATTGCTCTTGCACTCTTCCAGTGTTATTGTCAACAAGTCATTCTGGGATTTCAAGTGCTCAATACGGCTGTAGAAAAAAAGTAATTTGCAACCTTCAAGCTTAGATTGCAGACACTGTCCTGAAAACTCTAGAATAATCACAATTTAAAACAACAAATACCATTTGGTCTACACAAGACCAAATGTCCCATCTCAAGAGCTAAGAGGACAGTAACTTCTCTTCTCCTTCTTGAATCCTTCCCATAAAATGTAATCATAACTGTGCAACAGCAGCAAGTAGAAAGCTGTACTTCTATTTTGTAGCCACACAAAACTGCATAGGGCAGTTTTATATTAACCTTTTGCACAATTTTTCTGCCTCCATTCCTCACTTCTTGCTGCCACATTTGCTTCTTGTTTTAAGTGGCATATTCATTAGTGCAATGTGTGTGTGTGTTGGGATCATGCAGCATACATGCCTCCTTTCTATGTAACATCCAGAACAACCATTTCACTTAAGAGTAAAATTTTGGTTGTGATTAGAGAGGTAACTTCCAAAATACAAAGGTTCAACGAGGCAATGAAATCTCCGGGTGTTCTGACAATAGTCACACAAAAGCTCATATCAGAACTTAATTGTAATATTCTTCTCAATGAGATTAACTCTGAATCTGAAAATGAGACTTCAGAGTACCAGTACTTTATTTATTCTCACTGCAGATAACTGCACTACACAGCAACGTACGACACCTAATCATAAGAGTTGGACATACACTGAAAACAGACAGGCAAATTATTTCAAAATTTGGACAGGTAGCTAATGAAGAAATCAGTGCCATCCAGAACTCTAAAATCACTGACTTCTTACAAACACAAGAAGGAGAAGAGTTAGTATACTATTTATTCAGTGATCAGAATAAAGCCCTGACTTTCCTAGCTGCTAGAACTCTCTCAGATGCTTCACCTCCTTTATCTTCTTTGACATGTCCTATAAGGATACACGTTGTCAAAGTGTAATTGTGCAGTGGGGGCGGGGGGCTGAAGGGACAAAAAAAAAGAAAAGAAAGAAAAGGATCACATTTTGCAGCACTCCAAAAACATGAGCAACAAATAAAAAGAGATATTGTACTGATCAGACTAAATCTGAGATAGCTGACAGGAAGAGAAGACTTGGAAGGAAACGTGCACAGACACGATTTTCATGTTCATGTTTCACAGTTCTGATTTTATGTGCCAAAGAGGACATGAAGCATTGCTTTGGACAGAGCTTATTGAAGGGTAACACCAACAGTATTTTAACTGCAACCAGAAAGCTACAATCTTTCTTCTGCAGACAGAGGTCTATTTACTGCTACACATGCCACACCACCATACATCAGTACATTAATTGACACAATTAATGCTAAAATCCTGTTTTTTCAGGACAAAACAAAGCAAAACTAATTCCAGAATAATGGATAATAAGTTATGGAAAACCTTATTTCTAGCAGTGATGTGAAAAAAGATGCCCTGCCTACGTGGTCAGCCACAGAGAAGGACACTCTACAGTGCAAATTGTCACAAGTAAAGGTGCCATGCTGATCTAATAATGCAAGACCAAAGTGTCATGCTACTGGAAAGAATCCTTAGCATAGGATTCAATCTTCTCTTCATCAACTGCACCCCAAGTTTATCTGCACCTGCCACAGATAAGCTGGGCCTGAACTCAGAAATTTTCAAAAAGGATAAAAAAGTAACTTTAACAAAGCCAATAGCAGACAACATATTTCAGCATATCTAACTTTTCACCTTACCTATTTAATCTCTCTGTCTCCACTTCAAACTCTCGGATTTTACTTTCCGAGATAGCAGATCCATGTGAATAAAGAGTCTGGAAGATTTCCTGGATGTTTGAGCAGTCTTGGAGGGAATGTGCCAAATGTTCAGCCACAGTACTAGATACCTGCACAGAGCAGTTAGTAGGTCATTCTGAACAGAAAAACACTGGATTCCTCCCACAGGTAGTCTGCATTGAGAGCTACATTTGCTTGTGTGCTCTCACTTCAAGGCATTCATTATTCAGTTTTTACTATGAATTTTACATTGAATAGAACATTTTCAAGTTTGCAATTTAAGAAGCTATTTTGATTTTAAATTCTACTAACTGAAGGGTGAAGCCCACTATTTCATCATACATTTTAAAAGCCGAATATGCAAGTTATTTACTTTCTTGAAAGCTCAGCAAAAGGTCAGAGTTAAGTTCTTCAGTAAAACAAATATTAACACACAGTAACAACACTGTTATGGATTTACATTGGCATTACAAAGCAGAATGCAGTCCTCTGTTGATTGGAAGCAGTGAAATGCAACTGAACAGTCTTTTCTTGAAGAATGATATTTTGGAGGAACTGACTCCAAAATTATCCTCTTGAAGTCACTCGGAGAATGATTTCTAGCCACCAGTTATGAGAAAATGAGATGTTAATACTGAGTGAAATATTCTCCGTTGAAACATTTTTCTCAAAATAACTTTTAAAGTATTTTCAGTTAGCTCATACACTCATTTAGTAAGAAACCAATGCTGCTTTTAATGGACCAAGGCTCATCTTCACAAGGTATCATGCATGCACATAATTATTAGTCCTTACCCCTATGCTGCTGATTTCTGATCCTAAGACAGGTCTATCAGATGATGAAGACTCTGATCTTGTTTTTGACAACTTCACTCTCTCAGCTATCTGTAAGTCAGAATGGTGCACAGGTTACACAGGAGCCCACATGCCATAAAGATTACACAAAATGCATTTGTTCACTAGCTACACTTGCAAATCTGAAGTAAACTACTGTAAAATTGATACTTGTGTTGTAACAGAGAGAATTACAACCAGTAGCACTTAATTCCTTTCTGCAGATCAAGTTCACGGGCCTGCTTAGGACCCCAGAAAACTCCCTGGGGATTCTAGACATCTCCCAGTGAATCACATGTTTGCACAGCAGCTGTGCAAAATGAAGTCTTCTTCTCCCAGATAACGCAAAGTGTTACTGCAACACCTAACAGCTCACCTTGGCTATGGGAATGTCATTGCTGCTGCTGCTTGTGCTCAACTCTCCAGTGCTGGGGTTGATGGGTCGATTGGCAGAAGCGAGACGACTTGGGCTGGATGGGCCTGTTGCCTGCACGCTTTGCAAACGTGTTTGCAGTTCCCGAACCTACAATAAAACATAACATTCTGTTTTTTCCACTTCTGCGGTTTAAATAGTTTGGAGATTTTTCTCATTGCCTAGCTAAGCCTAACTGCTTCTGGCTTGAGGAGAGAAGTTGTATTTTGTCTTGTGGCGGCCACAAAGTCTTCATGTGGGGAGCAGATCAATGAAGGTTGTTTTAAAATTCTATTGTCAGTTTTTTAAACTATTTGCCATGTAGATATATGCAAATATGACTCTGTAGAGTAACAACTCGAAGTTTCAGCTTGCTTTATACAACCCCTTCAGTGCAGCCGTACTGTATGTATAGAAATTATTCTCCCTGAGATGAAGCTGAGGCTTCAGTCTAAGACTATGAAGCCTAAACAAATCAAATGAAGATTCTGCTGTTAATGGAAAGCTCCAGTGTTCAAAAAACTCTTGATATAAATATATTACAGGATGACTTTGTCATATCTCAAGGTCAAAGAAATTCAAATGTTAATCATACTTTCAAAAATACAGTTAAGTAAAGCTACCATGGACTGAGTAACGTATAGACAAGGAAATACCAGCAAAGTACCCAACCAACAGTCTGCGGCAGCATTTTGTGGACATACACATCAAACACTACATGGTCCTCATAAAACATCAGACACTTCTAGAACTGACGTCAAAAGATTTTCAGGACTAAAGGGTATAAAACAAAAAGTCTGCTGGAGCCAAAGTATAGCTGAACTAAAGATTATAGTGTTTACCTTGGAAAAATTCTTAACAGACAAAGAATAAATGGTCTGCTTAACACAACAATTATGCCACAAGGTAAACTGACAGAGCTAATTTTTCCCACAGAACCTCAGACTGTGAGATGAGAGAAGGTGGAGGAAACCATCTGAAGAGGCAATTTTCCTGAATATAGTGTTTACTTTAATATGCAAGTTTCTACACCCATTTTGTTGGAACAATCCATCTGCAAAACAGAACAGGTGGAATTTACTGAAAGTCCAGTAAAATAAAAGTTCAGTACATTTGAGACATCTCTGAAATGCAACTCTGATTCCTATCTCCAAAACAAGGTGGCATTTTATACTAAATACAATACATTTACCCAAATAAGTGATTAAGCAAGCTGAAATCCCTTAGTAAAAAAACCCAAAAACCACTAAAGTTGCATTAAAGCTTAGGCTTTCTTCAGCTGTAGGCTCACCAAGTGCATGGACAATGCTCTAGTAATCTCTGCCTGAAAAAGCGGCAGTCAGCACGTTCTCTGCACAACAAACAGACCCCTTCAACCTACTGCACTGAGGAAAGAGTTCAAGCTGGAAATCTCTCCAGTCACCAAAGCAGTATCTCATGCCTCCTATGATTCCCTACAGTCTGCCCCTGCTTTCCTGAAGAGTAGCCTTTCCTCTCCCTCAGTTGTATACAAACTGAAGGTCAGGCTACCTAACAACTTAATGTCAACAGAATTTTTAGGTATGTGCAAATTACAGAAAAGAAAAAAAAACAAATGTGTTTTACATCACAGAGCAGAACAATTGCACGTTATTAATAAAAAGCTGTAGGTGGCAACAATAAGAGCACATAAAGGCTAACTGCACTCATAACTTCCCTGCTCAGTCATGGAGGAGTGCTATACCTTAAACAAAATTAAGCCAAACAACTCCATTGGTCTCTCTGTTAAAAAAAGGCAAAGTACACAAAACCTCAAATCAAATCCCCTATGTTTAAAATAACTTGCTGAAAAATGGATATGGGTACTTGCTGCAGAATTATACTTCTCGACTGCAATTACATCTAAAAGTTAACTGAGTAAAGTGTATAAAGTGCACATTAATAGCATATATCTTCTACGTATTTGCATGTGAGAGCTCCTTTGCTCATACAGATGTGTATCATTCCAACATGGGTACAGCTGCACTAATGCAAACCTTAAGGAGAGAAGTTCTCTACTGATGGAAACCCATCATTTCAGCCTGCTGATATGCATAAAACCGAAACAAACTATGTATGCATGTTTCTGCTTGCAGATGTGGAATGCCAGTGCAGATAGAATTTGTACTATGGCATTAATACTGAAAAAAAAAAAAAAAAGCAACACAAAAATTTCACTAAATCAAAATCACATTTATTACTATTTCTTTTAACCTGGGCTGTTGCAAACTAAATTCCCCCAGTGCTTAAGTTACAGCATTGTTTAAAAGCAAACAAATAGGAAAACCAGTAGGGATGTATTCTTCATAAAATCAAATCCCTGCCACAACGTCTGACCTAAAAATTGCTAAAATACTCATCTATGCCCAGAAGCTAGGATTGGATTTCAGTCCAAAAGCAAGTAATACTCTAAATTTATGGGCAGCCAGGAAGCAGAGTGTTAAAGTTGTCCAACCCTAATCATTCTATGATTACAAAGCCAATTATTCTTGAGGATCTGTAAAACAACATTAGCAACAGAAAGAAAAATGAACATACCTAAGACCATAGCCAGGAAAAGCTTTCCTCAGGAAAGCATTTATAGAAGAAAAGTCAGAGCACGGCACAATTATCAATCTATGCAAGTCACTGCTTTAGTACTGTATCACAGAAGCAACCACAACTTAAAGAAACTGTCTGTTTATTCAAGCTTCTTGATGTATTTCCTGATTCAGGCCTTCATTTGAGAAATTACATACTGAATTAATTGCTATAAATAACTGCACTAACTTTAGCAATATTGAGTACTGGATGGTAATTCTAAGCCAAATAACAGGGCAAGTTTGTTTGAGCTGTAAATCACCGATCTCACAGTTCACACATTCACTAAGCTAGAATTTAATTACTGAGTCTCCCACCCACCAGTCTGCCCAGAGACAGCTTAGGTAGCTATTTCTGGTCACCAAAACCTCCACTGTAAATAGAGCAGTACACACCATCTCCTCAGAAAGTACTTTTCCACACTCATAATAATTCTATACGAAAAATAAAGGGAGACCAAAGAACAAGAATCAAGAAAAAAATAAAAAGAGTTTAGAAGAGCCAGTTTCCTCGCTGGATTGGTGAATGCAGGAGTTATTAAAAGACTAGTTTAGAAAGTGAGACTAAAAATTGTCTGACCACCCCTGCTCAATACTTCTACCAGTCTGAAGTGTCATTACCAATGCAGTATAAATTATTCTGAAGGTTATGTTTATTAGTAGAATGATGGTTAATTGCAGTACTGCACATGAGGCACAATAAACAGTTGGAAATGGGAGAGAGAGGAAGGGCAGATCTTACAGAAAATGGATTACAAAATTGGAAAAAGCCGATGGGTGAAGACAAGTGAAAAAACAAAACCAAAAAAGTTCCACTGAAAGACAGGAAGTGTGGATTTGTGAGATGGGGAGCAATAACAAGGAAGGCTTTAAAGAAAGATTCCATCAGCCCTTGAATCATACTAGTTTAAAGATGGAAACTATACAAAAGGATAGAAAAATTGCCATAAAGTTCTAAGACACTAAACTGAGATGGAAAGTGGCCAACAGGCAGATCTAATTATATGATCCAGAAAAAAAACCCAACAAAACCAACCCCCAAAACCAGGAAGCGAGAACAGAGGAAAAAAGAAGAAACCCAGGGAAACATCTGTGAAATCCACAATTAAAAAAAGGGAAGAGTAAAGATCTTCTAAACAGCTGGAGGAAGTCCAGAGAATTACAAAAGCAAAGAAATGCTGGAATCTTGGAAAGATCAGGGGCATTAAGTGAGACGAAAGGCAACAGAGACATTAGACGTCAGAGCAATGGATAGCCTCGATATCAAGACAAGTGAGGTGCAAACAGGCATTCTCAAGTTGTTAATATAAACTTAAATAACTGGAAATTTATTAATATTTGATGTTTAGCAAAATGAACCAATTGCTTAGCTGCATTTTTACTTTTTTCCTTTGAATGCTGAGAATTGCAGTAGGAAATAGGGAAAAATAAAGCATAATTTCTCATTTCTTAAGAACTAAATAAAAAGACAGCAAGGGTAGGAGAGAAAAGGGGCTGACACATTACAGTAATGTTGGATTTATGGAAGATTTAATAAGTGATTAAAAGGCATCATAGACATGTTTGCAGAAATGCATAGCGGGTTATAGAAAATACGTTGGTGGAATATGCTCATTATCTATAATAATGAATCAAAGAAATATGTTTTTACTCTTTGTATTTTACACATGCACACTCACAACTACAGGATTTGTTAACATATCCTAAATAAAAAAACACAGCTACAAAATGCCTGGTTTTGTCATTGACTTCCACAATCAAAAGATGCCTACTGCTTTTGCTCCTAAACCAGTTTCAAATAAGGGGCATGCCTGTGATTCTTTTCTTTCTAACCTACTTGTGACCTGTTTAATTATGCAGTCTCTTTGAACCCTTCTGCTAGAGTTTTTTTTTCCCTGCTATACAGAAGAGGAAGGTGAAGTACAATAAACCACAGGAAGCAAATATACCCCTCCCACTTTATAATTTATTCAGGCATGCTGTAAATCTGTGGAGGGGAAGATGGAAAATGAAATACCACTGCAACAATTCAAGCTGCTCTGAGTGGTGAGGGCCCTTCCCCACCTTAAAGCACCCCTAACCTTTCAGTCAGTCCTAGTGGTAATTATTTTCAGCCAGATAGTTTTCAGCCCCTTTTAAATTGTGAGCGCCAGAGCTAACAAGCTCTGATTTCCTACAGGTTGTCTGTTGTGCTTGACTGACCACCCTAAAGAAGTCTTTCCTGGTATTTACAAGGGCCATCTCCTCAATGAATTCTCTGGAGCTGAATGAGCTTAGACCTGCACTTATCTGTTCAAAGGAGGCATTTACAGAATCGCTCGCCATCTGCATCTGCAAAGACCTCTATTTTCAAGAAATATGTAGGAACTTAACTGTCACTAGAAGTGTTACTCCTCTGGCAGATCTTAAAATCAATCTGAATTTTGAACAACTATTTTGAGGAATGGAGAAAGCACACAACACACAGAAACAACAATCTACAGGAGAACAGGTATGGTACTAGGGTTTATACAT